CACTTCATTGAAGCATGCAAAGAAAGTGGTATCCCCATTGACCCTGCTTGGCTTCAAGGAAGAAATCTCCCTCCACCAGATGTTATCCTCCAGAAGAAGAAAAGGCAAGCTGGAGTTGGCCCCTCTGCTAGACCTCAGAAGAAGAAGAAGAAATCAGTAGGTACAACCTCTAAAACCATTTCTGTTAATGATTCTGTGTGCATGGAAACATCTGCTGAACCTCAAACCCTTGAAAATATAGAAGTTGACATAGACCTAACACAAACATCTGAGCCTCTGGATAAAAACCCTAAAATTGACCAAGTATTATCTGACATAAATAATTTTACTGCTGAAGTACCTGAACAAACTCAACCGCAAACTCAAATACCTCCTTCTGCTCCTCACCATCAGAATCCAAATAATCCAGCTCACAACCCTCTACCAACGTCCCCCATCAGACCTTTATCACCAAGACCCTCTGAGTGGTATGATGGTTCTTGGAGACTACCTGACATAAATGTTCCTCTGGCTACACAACCACCATCCTTCATCCTACCATCTGAAAACATTTTTGCCCTGAATTTATCACCAACACCTTCTCCTCCTTCCTCACCTTAAACCATAATCATCATATCTCTTGATGTCACGCCACCTTCCTCACCAGAAATTCCATTCCCTTCATCATCTGAAACCTCTTCACCTCTCTCTCTATAACCAATCCCTAGTCCATCCTCAGTAGAACCTCCTGAACCCTCTGTCCCTTCTGACTTTCTCAGAACTGTAATTGATCTTGAATCACTATGTTATCTACAAATAAAATCCACCAAAAAGGCCTCTCCCAAACCAACTCCAAAATTTGATCAATCAGAAGTTCCTGTACGCTGTCAGAACTTCATAACAGAAATGCAGACGTGGATTAACCTATTGAAAGCTGACAGTGCCAGCAGCCTTAATCCAGCAGCGTGTGATTTTATGTGGGACGCTTTCAGAAGCAAAATAAATGATGAAATCCTCAATTTGTAAGAACTGTGCTATGCTTAGGTTCTTGAGAATTTCTCTAAGTATCTGAATACTTTCTTGACGGAAGTAATAAACATCTGGGATCAGAGGTCTCCACTACAGATTACTGGTGCTCCATTACCTCCTGCTGACCCCATGGAGATATCAGAAGATGACGCTGAGTCTGAACCACATCATTTGGCCATGATTCTGTATCACCAACCTTCTGCTAAAGCTAGTCCTGAGAAAGTGCCTACTCTACTGATTGATCCTGGTACCTTTCTCTCAAATGATGTGTACTCAGGCTCTGCTACTTCTGCTTCTAAGGTTGTCTCATCTGAAGTTGCTTCAACTTCTGTGACACCCTCGCTATTGCTGGACACTCTGAATGAACAGAAGAAGGACAATGAGGCCATCCATGAAAGTTTGGATAAACAAGATGAAACCAACAAGGAAATCATATCTTGGATGCAGAAACAAGAGGATTCCTCAAATGAAATCAAGAATCTTCTACTTTCCCTTGTTTCTCGTCGCTCTTAGATTTTATTTCTAAATTTTTTCTCTTGTTGTTTTTGTTTTGTAACTCTGTTTTCTTTTGAATCTTCAATATATGACTTTTTTGGATTTCTTTACATTTTTTACTTTTTGATTATGACAAAAAGGGGAAGAAAATGAGATTTTGATCTGATCCATGAAACAGTTATGGGACTAAGTCTCAAACATTTCTAACGAAATACAAAGTTTTTTTCCTGTTTAAGAGATATGCGGGAATTCAAGAAACTCTGAAAGACTAAGCTCTGAACATCATCAGGAAAAGAATTGCTAAAGAAACTCTGAAAGAAAAAGTCTAAAAGCTCTGAAGAACAAACCTCAGGAAGTTTCCCTTATGCTTTTTAATTATTCTTTATTTCAGAAGAATAAATATCAATCTCAGGGGGAGATTATCTATCTCAGGGGGAGATCCTCATACTTGTACAAAATTTCTTTTTAATCAAAATCTGAATTGTTTTGTCATCATCAAAAAGGGGGAGATTGTTAGAACAAAGTTTGCTTCTAATCATATCTTAGAGTTTTGATGATAACAATGAAATAAATTTTGTGATATATATTTTATACTCTGACTTGTATGTTCTCTAAGATCAGATGAAGTTCTGTCTTACGCATCTTAGAAAGAAACAACATTCTACGCAGGTATAAAGCAAACTCAGAAGGAAGCACTCCAAAGCAAACTCTGATGAAGAGAAATCTTAAGAAACTTCTGATAAAGCTAGCTGAAGCAAAGATCTGATAGAAGCACGCTGAAAGCAACATCTGATAAATGCAAGATTAAAGCAAACTCTGATGATCACATATTGAAGAATACTCTGATAGAAGAATAGATCTAGTAAACTCTGAATTAGCAATGCTGCAAGCAAACACTTCAACTTCCAGAGACAAGCTCTGACAGTACCGTTGGTTATTAAATGCTAAGACGACTAACACACTCAAGTATACTACGCGCACTAGCATTGGAAACATAAAGACTAAATCTACTCGCTACACGCATTATTGCAAACACGCTTCATTAAATGCATGAACCATCATCAAGGCATTAACGGTCAATTGGAAGCTATATATAGAAGACCTTTTGTATCAAAGAAAGGTTACTGACTTATGTGAAATATACTTACACTCACTATTTTTCATACTTGTAAACTAATACTGTATAGTGGGTAGTTCTTAAGCATTGGGCAACAATCTTAGTGAAAAATCACAGTTGTGATAAAGCTTTTTAAAAGCAAATCTTTTTCACAACTATTAAGAGACAATTTTGTAAGTGTTCCTTGAGAGACCAGTTGGGTCAGATTTCTCAAGAGGGCTAGGACTAGTTGAGTCTTAGAGGTTTTAGTCACTTGCAGTTAGCTTGTGCATTGTATTGTTACTCACACCAATTTGGTTGTATGCTTGTAATCAGTTTGATTATAGTGGATTAAGTCCTCGTTGAGAGAGGCAAAATCACCTTGGCGGGTGGACTGGAGTAGTTTGAGTTTCAAACGAACCAGGATAAAATTACCAATGTCCTTCCATTAGTATTGCGCTAGAAAAGAAGAAAAACTTATTCACCCCCCTTCTAAGTGTTTTCTCAAACTTCAGGCACAACTCCAAAGCATCATGGTGCGTCACGAGCTAAGAATGACACAGACGAAATTGCGGGGGTTGATTACTATGCTCGCCTCCTTTTAAGGCCTTATCATTTGTAATATATGCGAGCACAAATGTAAACACACATGCAAAATACCTACATAAAGGCATGGTTTTAAATAAACCACACACAAGTAGCACACAAAATGCACATAATGCGAAATTTCCCTAAACGGGTCTTTAAATAAACCAGAGGAGTTCCTGACATGACCAGCAACAGAGATCCCCATCATAAATCTCTAGTCCTACTTCTCATGGAATCAGAAAGCAGTAAAGTTCCTACTTCTCATGATATCTAGAAAGCGGTAAAGAAATGCGGTAAAGTGCGGGAAAATGTAAAAGCAGCAGCAATGACTACCAAAAGCAAACGGATCGCCGAAAGCGGACGAAAGCAATGGAGAAGCAAGGAGTACGCGTCGAGCAAGCTACACCAAAAAACAAACAAAGTCAGAAACGATATCCAACTAAGATAAAAGCAAACGTGTGTTGCGAATGCAACGCGTAATCAGAAGTTCCTGCACAAAGTATCACAAAATATCACATGCATCCGGACAACATATAATATGATATGAATTTCTTAGGACGATGCGAAATAAGGCGTGTCGCATCAGAAGCGAGTATAAGCCATATGCTTCGATCATATAACAACCGATTAAGTTACATGATCGATAACACTAAAATGTACATTGCACAATGAACAAACGCGTAAAAAATAACGAGGCACAACAATATGAAAATACAAATAAAAAGCTAAGAGAAAAAGTATTTTTTATTAGTTTTCTATGTGAGGAAAATTCTATCATAAAATAAAGAATTAATTCCTAAACTTGACTAAAGAGATTTAACAAATTTTATTGATTTTATAGTTTTGTCAAAAGAAAAATTAGAGGGAAAAATTAGAAAGAAAATAGGAAAAGAGTTTTAGAATTCAAAAACAGGAGGGGTGTGAAGTCAGGATTGGGTGCTGTATAGCCAGTAAATTAAAACATCAAACCCAATCCAGAATAGATCTAATAACTTTTTTTTTCGCAGCCAAGCTTTCAAGCTCCCAAAAAAAGATCAATGGACCTAAAGAGGGTTCAATTCGAAGGCTCAACCATCAACACAATGATCTAATTTTTCCTACTATCACTGTTATTACTTATCTGAAATAAAATTAAATAAAAAGAAAACAAAAAGAAATTGAAAAGGAGATGAACGTGAGATTAGGGTTGTAGTGTGTCCCTTCATCTGATTTTGAACAATAGAGATATTTCTCCCTTTCTCCGTCCTCTCTCATCCTTCTTCAACAGCGCGACCAATTGTCCGCCATCGTCTCATTCTCCCTTCATATCTCCGCGTGACTTCATCTACTCACCTTAAAATCCTCTTCCCGCCTCCGTTTCATCACCGATTCGTCTCAAACCTCCGATTCGACTCCACACGCAAACAACTCACAATTTCCATCTTAGTTCATTTCAATTCAATCCACACAAGCAGAAATAGTATATGATGAGAAATAGAAACTGCTTACCTACCGGAGTAATTCTGGCGACTCTTCGACACGGTGAAGACGAGATATCTGAAAAATAATCTCAGGTATGCATCTCCTTTATCACTTCAACTCTTCTTCTTCTCGTTCTTCAGATTCAGTGAGCTTTTCCTCCGTGCACTTTTGAATTCGTCGCGTTTTCTGTTGCGAGATGTTGTTGATGCAGGATCGGTAATGATAATGATGGAAGCTGTTGAAGATCCGATAAAGATTGGTGATGGTGATTATTGAGAAAGGTTGATAAAGAACGATGCAGAAGATTGAATAGAGGCTGTAGTGGTGATGAAGATTCGGTTAAAGTGAAGAGATGATAATGAAGATGAATGCGGTGTAATGTTTGCAGAAAGAAAATTGAAGGGAGTTTTAGAGAGAATTGCAGAGAATTTGAGATTGGTGAGCCTTTTTGATAGTTTATGTGATTTTGTGAATGAATCGTGAAGCTCAAAGAGAGAGATCGAGGAGATTTTTCTGGTGATTCTCCTCCGATTCCCCCCACTGAAACAATTGAGGGAGATTTCTGTTATATCCCCTGAAGTTTGTTACAGGTAAGTAATTTTTGAGATCTGTGACAATTAGTTATGAGATAGAGGGCTGGATCGAAAGTTGTTAGAGAAGTTGAAATTCTGTTGCAAGTTTGTCAGTTAGGTTTTCTGTTATTATTCTTGTTAGTTAGTCTGAGCTGTTAGTTTTTGATCTGTTAGAGGTTGGTTATAGGTTAGTTAGGGAATTCTGTTACAGGTAGAACTGTTGGATATTTGGTTTCGGTTGTGCTGTCAGTTTGAAGGTTGGTTAGAGGGTAAATTTGTTAGAGGTTAAGGATTTAGTTAGTTATAAATATATTAGTTATTTCTGTTATGAGTTTTTAAGCGAGCTGGAACAGTTGAAGTTACTTAAAACTGGTTCCTTGTTATGTTAGCTTGGCTTGCTCAATTTCCTGGTATTTTGCGAATGACATAGGCTACTTATTGTCTTCTATTGCAAGTTTTTTTATTCTAAACTGGTGCTTGAACTGATGTAGTGATTGTATAGTTTGAACGGGCTGCTCACTCATTCTTGTATGCATCGTGACTTGGAATGGCCTCTTGAAGCATGATTGTTTATGTGAATAGCTTCATGGTATTTGATGTTTTTCCTTTGACTATGCAGGTCTGGTTTATGTCATAGGAGCAGGTTTTGTGCATCATGGGATTCCTATTGAACTCTTTCAAAATGAACATGTGGAGTAGGATCAAAAGTGCTGCATATCCTGGTGACGTCTTTGATTCATTCAATCTCTCGAACATCGTCTTAACATTTGTCACCATCAATCTCTTACAACACAACACCTGATGTTGATCACTGAGATTTCTCGTCGGCATGCCATTACCAGAACAAAATACCCTTTGGTTCGACAGCATTTGAATCAATGCATCATGATAGTTTTCCCTATTTGATTTATACTGAAAAATAGTGATTTTCTTGAAGCAATGGGCACCATAAACCAAGTGAAGCCAATGACACAACCTTCGAATTGGAAATCTGTTAGAACAGTGAAAAAGGAATCCATGGAGAATCTTACTGAAACCGGCTTTTGTAATTTCCCTTTTCTTTTGTTTGGTTGTAATAACTTTGTACGGTCTCGTAGTGAGTTGTATACAAGTACTGTAGGTCGAATTGCACTAGTGAACTATGTACAATGACCTTGAAATAAGATCCCTTTATCCAAATTAACATCTTCTATCTTCAAATGTATGCACAGAAACATAAGTAAATTTGTCCCAAATGTCACCTGTGAAAATCTTTAGAAATAGTCAATGAATTGTTCAATTTTCACCTAGTACTAAGAACATATATCACTTGAATTAAATGTACAACTTGTTTTCTTTCCATTTGATCCGACTTGCAAACCTTCAAATCCTCCATTTACTTTTGCAAGATTAAATCATTAACACCAATAAGGTCAAGAGCCAACACCTAGCTTAAGAATGATTTCGGTTTGAAGCCTTTTTAACAATTGGTTCCAAACTTTTTGGGATATGATACAATGCACTTTATCTAAAACTCCATGCCTCGAACCCCTTGAATGAAGCGCCCCAAACGTCGAGAAAGAAAACCCATGATGATTTTAGATCCAAAACTTTGATATGATGTCAAACTTTGATATGATGTCCAATGAGCTTCAGTTGATGAGTATTGCAAGTTCAAATATGGTGATATGTAAGAACTAATTCTTGATGCTATTATAGTATCTTAATGATAGAAGAAGCTTCACACACACCCCTAGTTTCACAAATTTTAATTGACAAAGAACCAGTTGAAACACATTTGAGTGACGATAAGAGCTTCAAATCATAAAGAACTCGACCTCTTCAATACTCCAGATTCCATGTTAAATTTATTGATTAATGAATGCATGTTGTGTTAGATGACCTAATGGAAGACATGTGAATACAAGACACGAGATGCATAAGCCAGATGACGCTTATTAAAGGGTGGGACAAATTTGGGGTATTACAGTTTCCACTGAGAAAATTCTCGCTGTAGAGTTTAAGAAGCCAAAAGTTTGATAACATCATTGAAAGAAGCTAAAGCTGTAGTAGAATCCGGACATCCTGAGGGATGGGGTCGAGTCTTGGACCTACCTGCAAAATTTGATAAGCTAGGATTGGGCTATCATCCGAGATCGTAGGAACGAGGCAAGTTATATCTTAGAGGCAGAGAAAGCTTTGGTTCAAAAGGCAGTGTTTCTCCATCTTTCATCAAGTTTGTCAGCGCTGACACCATCAATGAAGGTCAGATACAAGCAATGCACAACAAAGTCGACATCAAAAACGACTTCAACAATTGAATTCATCCTTGTGTTCTCGGATAAGAGCTCCACAACTAGACTGCTAAAGATATCATTCCTGTCACTTTTCTTCATAAGTAATTTCTTTTGTTTTTATAAAAATTCATGTGCTCTGCCCAAGGCACAGTGAAATCTTGTAGGGTCTCCCTGTCTTTGTATGTTTTATCATTTAAATAAATGACGTTTTTATTCAAGTTTGAGCTCCCTGTCCTTCGCTTACACTTTTTTATAAAATTGGAAATATTTTTCTTTCTTTTTCCTTATTCTTTCAAAAAAAAAAAAATCGCTCGCATTCTAAAAGCATAAATCCCCTCTGAATAGATTTACCCTGGTTTCCATTGATGATGATATTGTTATGCCTCTCTATGACTTCAATAATCCAATTTACCAAGCCGAAGAAGATTTTAAAGAAGATTATGAACTCCCTGAAGAGTTGACTAGGCTATTGAGACAAGAAGAAAGGGCTATCCAGCCGCATGAGGAATCCTTGGAAGTTATCAACTTAGGTACCGAAGACATAAAAAAGGAAGTCATAATAAGGGCTGCTTTAGAAGGATCGGTAAAACAAGGTATAATTGGTCTATTGTAAGAGTACATCGACATATTTGCTTGGTCTTATGAAGACATGCATGAGCTAGATACAGATATCGTTATGCACTGTTTGCCTCTCAAGGAAGATTGTCCACCCGTCAAGCAAAAGCTCCAAAGAACACATCCAGACATATCCATGAAAATTAAAGAAGAAGTTCAGAAGAAGTTCAATGCAGGGTTCCTAAAGGCAATCAAATATGCCTTGTGGGTTGCAAACATTGTGCCTGGGCCGAAAAAGGACGGAAATGTATGAATGTGTGTTGATTATAGAGATTTGAACAGAGAAAGTCCTAAAGATGATTTTTCGCTTCCTCACATCGACACTCTGGTTGACAACACTGCTCATTCAAAGGTATTCTCATTCATGGATGGTTTCTCTAGGTACAACAAAATCAAAATGGCCCAGAAAGATATGGAGAAAACTACCTTTATTACCCACTGGGGCATCTTTTACTACAAAGTAATGTCATTTGGTCTGAAAAATGTTGGCGCAACATATCAACGTGGCATGGTGACTCTTTTCCATGACATGATTCACAAAGATATTGAGGTTTATGTCGATGACATGTTTGCAAAGTACCAAACTGAAGAGCAGCATCTGATACACATGTAGAAACTATTTGAGAGGTTAAGAAAATTCCAATTGAGGTTGAACTCAAACAAATGCAACTTTGGGGTACGATCTGGAAAACTTTTGGGTTCATAGTAAGTCAGTGAGGTATTGAGGTCGATCGTGGGTTCCTAGGAAGATTAAACTACATCGCCATATTCATTTCTCACTTGACAGCTACATGTGAGCCAATATTCAAGTTGTTACAGAAGGATCAAGCCGTGGAATGTAATGACAATTGCCAACAAGCCTTTAATAGGATCAAGAAATATCTGCAAGAGCCCCCAATTCTCATACCTCCGGTACCGAGAAGGCCTTTGATTATGTACCTGATAGTCCTTGACCATTATATGGGATGTGTACTCGGTCAACATGACGAAACAAGAAGAAAAGAGCATGTAATCTACTATCTGAGTAAGAAGTTCACTAATTGTGAATCAAGATATTCACCGCTCGATAAGACGTGTTGTGCACTTATGTGGGCTGCCAAGCGCTTGAGGCAATACATGTTGACACATACAACATTCTTGATACCCAAGATGGATCCGGTTAAGTACATATTTGAAAAGCCAGCTTTAACAAGAAGAGTTGCCCATTGGCAAATGGTATTAACAAAATATGACATCCAATATGTTACCTAAAAATCAATTAAGGGTATTGTGTTATCATATTATCTTGCCCACTAGCAAATGGATGATTATCAACCCATGAAATTTGACTTTCCAGATGAAGACATTACGGGAGTACCTGATACAGAAATAGGACCCGACTTAGGAGCGCAATGGACACTCATGTTTGTTGGTGCCTCGAATGCCTTGGGATACAACATTGGAGCAGTCATTACTTCCCCTATAGGTTTTCACCTTCCGTTCACTGCAAGAATTTGTTTCGACGCCACCAACAATGTTGCAGAATATGAAGCTTGCATCTTTGGTTTGGAAGCAGCCATTGACTTAAAAAATCAAGACTTTAGTAGTAAATGGAGATCCAGCTCTGGTAATCTGCCAAATTAACGGAGATTAGGAGACCCATCACCCCAATTTGATCCCCTACCGAGATCATGCCATGCAACTAATTCCCTACTTTGATTAAATCACCTTTCGCCATATCCTGAGAGAGGAGAATAAACTGGCCGATGCCTTGGCCATGTTGTCATCCATGTTCAAAATAAAATGGGCTAATGAAGCACCTAAAATCAGAGTTGAACGTCTGAATGAACTAGATTACTGCCTTGAGTTGGAAAAGACTGGAAATGACAAGCCATAGTACTACGACGTTCAAAGGTACCTTGAAACATAAGAATATCAAGAAGGGGTTTCCACAACTGATAAAAAGACTTTACGAAGACTATATTCCAAATTCCCCCTCAGTGAAAAAATTCTCTATAAAAGAACTATGATTCAGTGTTGCTCAGATGCCTGGATAGACACAAAGCAGCTAAATTCATAGAAGAGGTACACAATGGTTCGTTCGGGACACATTCCAGTGGTCACACCATGGCTAAGAAATTCTTGATGGCAAGGTATTATTGGACCACTATGGAAGCTGTTTGCTTTCACCATGCCAGCGCTTGCCACAAATGTCAGATATATGCAGATAAAATGAACGTGCCACCAGCGCCTCTGAATTTCATGACATCTCCTTGGCCCTTTGCTATGTGGGGCATTGACATGATTGGCCGAATCGAGCCAACTGCTTCCAATGGTCATCGTTTCATCCTAGTTGCCATTTCCTACTTTACTAAGTGGGTAGAAGCTGCTTTATACGCTAATGTCACCAGACAAGTGGTTTCCCGCTTCATCAAGAATCAAAAGAGCTGTGCCAGAATTTTAAAACCCAACATCATAACTCTTCACCTTATCATCCAAAAATGAATGGCATTGTTGAAGCCACCAACTAAAGTATCAAGAAGATCGTGCAAAAGATGGTTGTGACATACAAAGATTGGTACGAGATATTGCCTTTTGCTCTTCATGGCTACCATACTTCGGTCCGTGGGATGGAGGCTATTTTACCCATAGAAGTAGAGACACCTTCCCTGAGGATTATAATGGATGTCAAATTGAACAAGGTTTGATTAGTTGAACCTTATTGATGAAAAACCATTGGAAGCCATTTTCCATGGCTAGATATACCAAAAGAGAATGAAGAAGGCTTTTAACAGGAAAGTACGACCTAGAAACTTCCAAATCGGAGACCTCGTGTTAAAGAAAATCTTGCCTCTCAACAATACAAATACTAGGGGCAAATGGGCACCAAATTACGAAGGGTCATATGTTATGAAGAAGGTTTTCTCAGGAGGATCTTTGCTACTCACTACTATGGACGGTGAAGATTTCCCGCTTACAATGAATGCAGCCACATTTAAAAAATACTTCGCATAAATAGACTCGCTAAGTCGACGACTTAGGAAAAAAATGGGCATCCCAACGGATCATAAAAAGAAAAGATCTAGGCAAAAATTAGGGATAAAAATACAAAAAAGTACACCCGCTAAGTTTAAAACCTGCAAGGTCAACTTAGGCAAAAAATGGTATCTTGGTGGACTGAAAACCCCAAAAGGGCGATCCAGGAAAAATTTAGGGATTTAAAACCGAATGACTGTGATCTGCGACTTTTCTCTACAAGCAACAACCAACAACCTTAAGGGG